AGTGGAGTGGCGAAATGGGTTTGTGTTCCCGATGGTGGAACGAATCCCCCAGGATAACCAATGGTTCCAGTATTTCCTAAGATCGAACTATTAGTTGATATGCCACTTACTCCATTAGTGGCTATATTACTGGTTGAAGACGCAACAGACTGTGCATTCGAAGGGATCACATTAGATGTTCCCATCGAAGTGGACACATTAGTGCCTGTTGTATGTGGGGCATTTTGTTCCCCTTGTTGATTGTCAGAATTAGACATTTTGTTCAAACGTTTTCTTCTAGATAAGGGTTGGTTGCTGTTGGTTATTTTACCACTTCTTAGGTTCATAAAACAACAAACTTCTTAGGTTCCAACGTTTTTATAATGGTTATGTCTCAACAATCTTTATTTCTAATGTCCAATTATTGGTCCCACCAGGTGTGCCAATTTGTTTCCAGTGATTTCTGGTAAACAACCGCTAGTCTTCCAAACTATCGAATAAACTTACTGATTGTTATTCAATTTCTCTGGTAACTCGCAGGATCGACTAGATTGATCCTAGGACTTGTTGGTCATTAGGGTAACTCTCATGATCGAACAGGTATTCATGGTTGGTATTTAGAGTGTTGTGTAGGTGTTTGACTTATTTCGATATCTCTCTCAAAGATCTAAAGGTGTAATCAAAATATATGTGCACGAAACTAAATTGCATGAATAAATGTTAATTGTAATGACATATAAAATTCATAAAAGACAAGTAAATGACTTCGAATTATAAAATAGTTAATGTAAAAGATGTTCTGGAACGTAAAAGATTCGAAATACGAAGAAAGCGTTTAATGCAAGAAATATGTAAAATGACTTTAAGTAAAAATAGGCGTTCGAAGGATAAAACTTGAAGATAAAGGCATGAAAAGTATGACAGTTTTCTGAAATGTAAAGTGTTTGAAATGGAAAGAAAGCATTTAAATGTAAGGCATGAATGAAAAGATTTCGAATAAAAGACTTTAAATGAGAAAACTTGTAAATGGTATTTGGCAGAAAGATAAAGGAAAGTACTGGAAATGATAAAGGGTTTTCATTAAATCATAAACATGTGGTGCTATCATACGTGCATTGCTCTTGCACTCGTTTCCCTAGCCATGTGGTAATTTGAATGTTTACTGAGTATTTAGTACAATAGATATGACACACCGAAATCCTAATACTAAGACTTCTATTTATACTACTTCGACCATAACGGTCTTGCTATAAGATTATGCCACGTTCAGAACATGCAGAACAATGCTTCTCTCTTGTTTCCACGTGTCTCCAAATGCTCCAGCACATAAATTTCAAATTTCAAATGTCCCGCTTGCATTTGAATTTCAGATGTTTTGGTACTTCTCCGCTTCGAACGCACTTCTCAGACACAACCTTGTTGTCATTTCGAGACTTCTTTTAGATATATTCCCATAATTGCCACTCGAAGCTCCAAGCTTTGATATGCTCATTCGAAACACTGCTTCTGCTATTTCGAAACATGACGCTTTGTTTCATTTCGATCGAAACGTCCAATTCACTTGGCTTTTAATAATATTATCAAAATCTTCAGCCAACAACATGATAAAATATATTATTAAAAGATTCATCTCATTTTGAATAATATATAGTTTGAAGTTGCATTTTCATACGCGTTTTGAGTGTATTCGGACATAAATCTTCAAAAATATCTTCTTAAGTCCTTTAAAAGGTATTGGATGTGTGTTAATTGTAAGGGTGAATTATTTCAGAGATGCATCTCCAGAAACTCCCTTGAAACATTTCAGAGTAGCACCATTGTCCCGACATTGTAATTTTTTGAGGTCAAGTTATATTAAAATAAAATCAAGTTATATTAAAGTGTAATGAAAGTAAAAAAAATCATATATTAATTCAAAAAGTCAATATCATACATCACATTTGTCTGAAAATACAAAAACTAAGACATCCAAACATAAATTATTGTCTATGTCTAACCTCCTGACTCCTCCTCCGCCTATATTGCACGATAATTCGTAGCTCGACAATCATGTTTTCCACGAGTGTCATTGGGTATTGTCATCCTCAAAGTGTCATGTCTCTATGTATGTTCTTCCCATCTCCATAACAGGCTGACAGACTACCAACACGCTTTCGGTGTGGCCATCCCTAGCCTCAAGTACCTCTTGATTAGTTGTCCTATATGGTCTCTAAGAGTGTATGGTGTCATGATAGGATGTGACACCCTATAGAACTATGTCATGTAGCCATCAACATAAGCTCAATGTATAGGAGCTAGCACTCTACGATACTCCTCTAGTACCAAGTGACTCTCAAAATCATTTAGTATCACACCAAGATCTTTGCGGCAGACGCTAGGAGGAGCAGAGTCATAAGGAGGTCATGGAATAATCTGCAAGTAGCCAAACTGGCACATCATTTGCTCGGGCTGATAAGGATACATTATGACCCTCATGCCAACCTTCTAGAGTTTAAGGAAATGACGTCAAACTGACGCGTCTCGCGGTGACCTCGTATAGGCTAAAGCAAATGTAACATGTTACTTGACGGTTAAGATACACTATGAGCGGTTGGAACACATTATTCCTCATGTACGAAAGAAATGTGAAAGCATGTGGCTAGTCTTCAGTGTAGCTAGGCGCAGGTTCTCACCCAGTGAAGCGAGGGAAATGGGAGATGATCTATCTCTGAAAATGGTTCGGATACAATATTAATAATAAGTGCAATAAATAAATCATTAAAATATTAGTAACAGTAAATTACCGTAAGAAGCGTGTAACTCCTTGTCATCTGCTTTATCTTCTAAAGATTATCCTCACCCAACTTTGAGTATAGGTAGACCAAACAATCGACCCTCATTTGTACTTGTGAATTGCAGTCAAGTCGACAAAGTACGTAAGGTAGACCATATTAACATAGGTTGCACTTTTGTCCACAACTATCATCATCTTCGGAATCCAAGGCCCACTATAGATATTCTTTATAAAACATTTCTAAAAAACAAAATCTTGCACGAGCACCTCTTGTGTCATTTGCCTCCAATGCAGCCTTATTATAGTCATCCTCTAAATGGGTATCCATCATATCGATGACTTCTTCTCGTCTGATTCTTCTATGATTCACAAGATGTACGAGGCATGAGACGTCATCCAAGGGGATGTTTATTTATTTTATAGGAAGGTGGATAGATGATGTCTTTGAATGCCACGTCTCTACAAAATCTTTCTGCATGTCGTTTTTTATGGTCACATACACAACTTCACCTAAACTAACCAGACCAAAATAGCGAATAACATCAACGAACCAATCAACAGTGGACTGTGGCAACTCTAATATCTTCTTAACGTGATTTTTCGATTTCAAACATGTACACTCATGCAAAAAGAAAATATCATCGTTTGTATCAATTTAATTAGTTGAAAACATATGTATTTCAAAAGAAAAAAATACACCTCTGCTTCCCATACATTCCTATCAACATGATATGCACAAAAATAAAGTAAGGAGGTGTCAAATGCATCTCTAAAGAGGCATTGACAATGACTTCCTCTTGGGATTCAAGGGCTTCAGGTTCAGCTGCATCATGTGAGGACTCGTGGTCCCATGAAGTATATATCTGAGAGAGGTGGCTATGAGAACTAGATGGTCGGGAACCTCAGCGATGTGAATCATCAAATGAGTTATCATCAGCTTGCATCCTCGTGGTTCTGATTGTGCATCGTACCGACAAATTTTGGGACACATGACCGAGCCTAATTATGCCAGGATTATTTTTCAGCCAACACACATGTGTTACAAACAGACACAGAAAAACAACCCAGTGCAAAATCCATAATTTCCACAAAATCAACCAAATTTTAGGCTGAGTCAAATCCGAAGATGCATCTCTGAAAACTATTTAGAGTAAATCTGAGAATGCGTCTCCAGACAAAACTGTGATTCTCTTATATGGCAGAAACACCATTTCTGCCATAACCCTCCAAAAATACCTCAATGCATGTTCTTATAGATTACCAATTTCATTTAAACTACCGTCTAATGTACCTAAAACAATAATATAGCCTAAACAACTAACTACAGATTAAAAAAAACCAACAAAAATTTGAAATACTTACCTAATCAAAATGATGAGAAGTAGCTTGGATGTTTGAGATGCTAGAAATGAGGTGAAGTTTGAATATTGCAGAGCTCGGATGATAGAAACTTGAATGAATGGATGAGAACTTGACTATTGCAGAACTCAAATATATTATTTTGAAAAGTTTTTACAAAATGAAGAGGGGGAAGAGCGAATGTCTGATGCGAGGATATGAAACAAAAGCGTCCGGAGATGAATCTCCGGACCTCCACTAATTTTTGATTAAATGGTATTTGCGGAGATGCATCCTCGGACATAACTTTTATATATATAAAACTGCATCTCTGAATCAAATTTTAGCATAATAGGAACCTCTCTTCAATTTAATCTGAGAAATAGTTTAAACACGTGGGTCTAGAGATGCATCTCCGAACTCTAGGAGAATAATGACTTTTTATGGTGATAGGAGAGAACATATAAGAGTGAGAAAAACCCCTGCTTTTATACGATTTTCCAATAAATATTGTTGCATGGATGAGTATTATTTCCAACTTCTCTAGGCCCATTTCCAAAATTAGTTGAATACCATTAAGCATGTTGAGAGTCTTTGATGTTTAATGTTTCTCTAGTCTCTTTTAAGTAAATTAAACGAAATTGTCGCTATCAAACACTTAGTAGTTTTTTTTAATAGGCAAAGATTTTATTAAAAGGGAGTATATGGGATATTCCACCTGAAAGTACAACGGAAATAACACCTACCTCCTAAAACAAAGAAGAGGGAGGGTATTCCAAACAAATAAATTGCCATTATTAACAAAATTACAAGAAGAATTCATTCATGTCCATGACAGGAACATTAACGAGGATATACACTCATCAAAACTAATCGAAACTCCTCTAAAAATAACCCCATTTCGCATCGACTATAAATACCAAACAGTTGCAAGCCAAATAACGGAGATAGTAATCCTTTCCGACTTAACCTTTAACTTGTCGAAATGGAAAAATAACTCCATCAGTTCCAAGACCGTCATTCCCAGCCCACTACCAATCCAATCATACATTTTGTTCCAAATACCAACCGAGAACACACAACGGCCGAAAAGGTGAGCAATGGATTCAAAATTTGAACCACACAAGATGTAGCTACTGTCCACCACTACTCCATGGTAAATCAACTGGTCTTTTGTCGGGATTTGATTTAGAATCAACCTCCACCCATAGAGAGAGATATTCGACGAGACTTTTAGTTCCTATAAGAAATTAACATCGTTCACTATATTTCCATGTAAAGTAGGAACATAATTAACATAGAATAATCTGTAGCAAGATCTGACAGAAAACATACCATGATCCTTCTGCCTTCATTCGTAACTGTCGATGTCATGGCTGTCGATATTCACATGTTGTAACGATTTAACAAAACTTCCCCCAAGAAAGGTTCAATTTCCTCTGCATTATCCACCAGCTCAGGTAAATTCCAATGCCACTATGCATTAATCAAACTCCCTGTGTCTGCTATGCTGCTACTTCTGTTACTTGCGAACTCGTAAATTTCTAGAAATGACTCCATCAAAGGTTGCTGTTGTACCCCAAAATTTTCCCTCCCATATTCTTCAAAATTTGTCAAGATCAATCTCCAAATGGTTCAAAATCTCTCAAGGGTTGCACAGTCCAATTGCCTCCTAACACAGTCAAAATTAGGGTTTTGGTTCTTGCAAGGAAGCTGAGGTTTTCAAGGGTCCAATCAAGTCCCATATGCCTATATACATTGTAAAGCATCTACATGTCAAACTTCAAGGCTCATAGCATCAAATTGCACAGTCAAAAGTCTTAATTACTTCAAGTCAATTGCAGGGGCAAAATGGTCATTTGGCAGTCAAAAGTCAAAATTTTTGGTCAACATCTTATTTTGAAGCCACAATCATCATTTTATCAAGTCTTGATCATGATTCCGCAAGCATGGCTCAAAAATCATCAAGATGCAAAAAGTTACTATTTTTGGACAATTGAAAAGTCAACTGCAAATTGACCAAGGCATAACTTTTTCATGGTTTATCATAAAAATCCCATCCAATGCTCATTTTGAAGGGGATGACATTTCCTACAACTCATCTTCACACTCCAAGTCCAAGAAATGCTCTCACAAAAAGTTATCAATTTCTACATTATAGGTCATTTTCAAAAGTCAACAAAAAGGCATTTTAAGTCAAAGACCATAACTTGATATTGGTAAATCAAAATGACATGGGACCAAAGTAATTGGTTAGAGGGCTTCAAGACCTTTCCAAAATGTCCAAGAAAATGTTCATAGCTTCAAAATTGAGCAAGATATGCATTGGAGAAGTTGGGAAATTTTTGGGAACTTTCAAAAGTCAACTTTGCCTAAATACTTCATTTTTGCTAATGGGCCTCAAATTCCTTCTTGAATCTTTACCCAAGGCTTATGCACGACCCATTAAGATTAATTTGATTTATTTTCTCATTTTTAATTAATTAATTGAATTTTTATTAATATTAATTCATTTAATTAATTTTAATTGTAGGAAAATTCAAAAGATATGATTTTTAAATCTTTTCTGATGCAAATAAGACTAGGGCAAGCTGGCAATTCGTGTGCACCTCAAATACATCAAAATCTCCATGATTGGCAAGGTTTTATCAAAGAAAAAGATTGAAAAGGATTTGATTGGCAATCACATAATGAAACATGAATACAATGGATTTATGGGCCTAAAGATGACCTAATTCTCTTCACATACAAATGCTGAAGCAAACCCTATTCCTAAGAACGGGCAAGAGCTGCTAAAACACCATAATCAAATTCTAAAAAAATCAAGAAAAGTTCAAAATTGAAATCAGTCTTCCAGGCGAATTCAAAGCCTCTTCTTGATTCAAACACGTTGCCTGAGTCTCCAGAAACAGTTTGCATTCAAAAACGAACCTTGAAGCTATCAGAATCGTTCACAACAAGTCCCGCGGTTTGGACATTTTTCCATAATTGCATATCATTATTCATGCGTTTTTAGCCATTTTTTTGGATTGATTTATGCTAATAGGAACATCCTGAAGCTATTGGTATAATCTAATTTGATTATGGCGCTCTGAGTTGAAAACCACCATTGAAGAACATTAGGGTTTCGAAGCTTGAATTTTAGGGCTTTGCACATGCTGAAAAATTGGATCTTGAAACGTGCATGGTTGAATTCGTCAAGGCCAGACGAATTCAACCCAATCATCGCGCCCAATTTATATGCACCCTAACTCTAATCGTTATTTTTCGTTGTTATAGTTAGTGGGGGTTAAAAACCCCCGCTATCTTGTTTTGTTTTACAGGAAAAACGAGGAAGAGGACAATAGGTGTCAGTACGTGGTTGGGACATTCAAACTTAGCGCGCTTTATTTTTGTTTTGCATCATAATATTTGTTTTTTGTATATAATATTCGTTATCCACTTGTTTAACAAACGCGCATCATAGTTCAACTGGCAAAGGCACTGAAGCGAGGAGCACTGGGACCTGGGTTCGATTCCCAGGTCCCCTATATCATTGTTAATATTTTTCCTAACACGTTCCAATGCAGCGCTTGTACAATATTCCACCATAAGCCTCACTCATCCAGCTTGCCATGTGGCTTCAAGCAATGATCCAATGACCAGGAGATGAAGAGCATGATACTCCCCAGTCAGCCAGCAAGCGTTTGATCATGAAAGTCAACAAGGGGCTTGGTGTTCTTGGGCCAGAATTCAACAAAAAAAACCTCCCCTTGGGCCAACATACCCCATTGGTTTGCTATTTTTTTGTTTTATTTTCTTTTCTTCTAATTCTTTTAATTATTTAATTATTATTATTAATTCATAACCAAATTAATTTTTCATGATAAATCCAGAAATCAAAAATTGTAAATATATTTTATTATTTATTAAATTCACTAATAATTATTTTTGTAAATAAATACTAACCATTAATTTAGTTTAATTTAGGCTTAATTTTAATCTTTTTCTCAATAAATAAAAATCATGTAGAATTAGAGTTTGACAATTTTCATTCATATTTTCTTAATTATCATTATTATTATTTATTAATTACTATTATTTTTATAAATAAAAATGTAAATTAATTAATTTAGTTAATTAGGTTAACTTTGACATTTTTTATTAATAATTAAAATAAACTTTGAACTAGGTTTTCTTTTGACTTATTAGCTTCTTTATTTTTATTTTTTATTAAAATATTAAAAAAACATAAAAAAAACATTTTTCTTGTAAAGAATTAAATAATTAGATTTAGGTTTAATTTTAATTCAATACAAAAGGACAAAAAACTCATAATTTTCTCAAGGGTCAAAACCCTAGGACGTTCCAATTTAATTTTTATTCGTGCGTTATATTTTATTTGATTATTATGTAACTGCTTCCAAGAATGTAATAGTAATTAGGTTTATTGCTTTCTTTTATTTCTGCACTTTATCAAAACGGGTCTTTGTTTTTTGGCGATGTATAGACCCGCGCCTTGTAATAGCGTAGCTTTACATTCCCGCACTTTAATTTTCCGCACTCCTAACTGTTAATACGCATGAAAGACTGAATGACAAATTAAAAACAACTCGTAGCTCACAATTGCATGATCAAAGATAAACATAAACTGAATTGAACACACAAGCACATGCCAGTTCTAGGGTACGCCTCACTCGTTGCCTCGAATGTGGTCATCAAGTATAGGGTGTCTTAGAGGTCGCTCTCCTATCTAAAGATCCAGTCGCCTCGAAATGGTTGCCTCGGATAAAAGGATCTAGGACATTAGGGTTACTTCTAAGGTGTCCTACTATTGCTTCGGTGACCACACTGTCCCTTAATCGAATTGACCCGAACACCTCCAATGATGGTGCTACCTACCTCTCAATAGTGGGATAGCACTATCTAAAGGACTCTTACACAGCCTAATTCCTTAGGGTAGGTAGATGACTCATGGGTACTTGCTCTTTTCAAAACAAACAAAAACATCTTTTCACACTGACACTTTCAAAAGTTTTCAAACAAATTTTTCATACACTCTTGAGGACAGATACAAGAGTCACTTAGAAATCTTTCAAACGAAACTTTTTCAAACCCCACACACACTTGAAATGCAAACATCTTTTGAAAACATAAGAGCACGTACCTAAGAGCCCATGGATAACCATGGATAGAAAGGGTGCTAACACCTTCCCTTTCTATAAATCTACCTCCCGAACCGAGAGACATTCTCAATAAGGAATTTTGCTGTGCTTTTGTCCTTTCCATGTTGGAGAACATAAAAGACGGCGGCGACTCTTGCTTTCCGCGACATTTCGCGAAACCAGCTTTAAACAGTCAGTTCTATTTCCACCAATCACAGAACTGGCGACTCTGCTGGGGAGAATTTTAAAGTGAGGTGTACCTTAGGATTAGATCACTCTTATGTTTTCAATTGCCTGTTTTGATTGCTTTAATATTGTGGGCCTGTTTTGGGAGTTTTATAGATCCTAACCCGGATCTGGGGGATACCTTTTAGAAAGTAGCAACAAACTGTGAGGGAACTGTGTGGGGTATACCGACACGGTTGAAGTAGTTTGCTACGTTGATGTGGCACTTTGGTGAGTACCGGTAACCCTTGAGTCAAGTCAAGGAGAGTACAGGGCCGCCGCGTGGTGTCATGAAGCATCAGCTAACCTTAGGAACCTTACTTGACCATCCTGGTCTCTTTAGGGGTAGTGAGATGACCGACTTTGGTGCAGTCCGAAGTTGGTTGATACTCGATACTACACTCATTGAGGGTTGTTTTCTTGGAATATTTTGATCGCCAGTTCAGTGGCTAAATCGAAACAATGAACATAGAAAACAACCCAATGATATTGAGATCCCTAGAACCCGGTTACTTTTGATAGGACAGGTTTTTGAGCTCACCAACTTCAAGAGGGTAGTACCCCAAACTTCATGCTGGCCTAAACTCTAAGGGTTGTCTTGTGTGACTTGTGTGCCTTATCATGTTTGCCTTTTGTGAATACTTGTGGTGTGTTTTTTATCATAACATCATAGCATCATACAGCATCATATGCATCCAATAACCACTTCAGGGGTTCGAATCTTCATCTTTGTTCTTGTTTTGTAGGACATGGAAACTATCCGCAGAAAGACAATTCAGGTCAATCTTATAAGGGTCCCTCCTCAGCTTAAGGAGCTTACATCCAGGATTCCCGAGAACTCTTCCTTCAGTGAGAAACATGGCAGACTCATCAGCTTGGTCAACACCAACATTGAGGAAGATATGATAAAGGTCCTCTTCCAGTTCTTTGACCCTTTGCACCACTGCTTTACCTTCCCGAATTATCAACTGGTGCCTACCTTGGAAGAGTTTTCCCAGCTTCTGA